CACCTCCACTCCTGTATCATATACAGGAAGAGGAAGCAGAGAGAATACAGTGCTAACGTCATCACTACAAAGGTTGGCGCTGTTTGGAAGCTTGGGTGGGTGACAGGGGTGTCAGGCAGGAGGCCTCTGAATAATATTACAAATCCTGAGCTGCTATCAATAGGCTGCAGTTGAGATTTCAGTAGCGGACCTCTGAAGACGTGTAAGATGAGAACGCTGTCAAACACAGAAAACTGGTAGTGTAATGTTAGATGAATCTCCAGAAAGATACAATGCAGCAAGCTAAAAGCCAGGCAACAATACTGCTAATTCTGCCCTGTTGTATCTTATACCAAACGACATATATGACCACATTATGATTTGAGTTCCAAGCTGTAAGGATAAGCATCTAACCTAGCACCATAAACTCAATACAATATCATAAATGATATATAGCGGTTTTTATACATGCACTACAGACCACCTAGCCTTTTTAAGGGGGCATAGCGAGGCATTAAGAAGCTACTCAGAAGACATAATCTCTTCAGCATGTCCTGGGTCTGCTCCATAGTCTCTTCAAGTTCAATCAAGCCCAAAACACCTGGAGGTAGACCTGGAGGTAGACACAAATGACTTCACCTAACTCTATTTAATCCTTTCCAATTATATAAATGTCTTTAATTTATTTATTTGACATGTAAAAGATAGCTGTGTACAACAGTCAGCCAATAAGATTTACATTTTCTGAGTTATGTAGAAAAGATTTCAACCGAGAAGAGGAATCACAGATCCATAACAGGTCGGCATTTTGTTGGCAAGATAACTCATAATTAAAACAACTGGGAATTGTGTAGGGGAGACAGGGGATAGTTGTAACATAACGTTTGACATTTCAACACCTGAATGCACTTAGAACTATTTATGTAGCTATGTGTGTGTGACAGAATGCAGAAATCTAGCTTTTGAACATCCATGAGAAGAATTACTTTTTTTCATGGTTTACCTTGGTGTGGTTTGCAAAGTGCTTCAGTAAGATGAGGAAATCTGTTTCTTGCACCCATCCTGATTTATTTCCATTACCAGTACTTCCTACTGGTCAATCTCTGACAAAGTGGTCTGCATAACGTATGCGTGGGAACACAAACATTGGAGGAATAGTGTTGCCAATGGCATTAACCGCATATACAAAGGTGACCAGTGAACCTCTCTCTGTTTAATATAAATTAAAGTAATAGTTTGGTAACTTGTAACATCTGCATTATTGTTACAACTAACCCAGACTGTTGCTGTTACAACTAACCCAGACTGTTGCTGTTACAACTGACCCAGACTCCTATAGCCATGAACTAGCTAACATTACAGCCAACGGCTAAAACATTAGCACTTAAGACCTACACAGAATATATCCCCATAGACATACAAATAACATAATTTAAGTTTGATGAGTTTAACTGCAAAGCAGATAATGCTATTAGAAATTGACATAAAGTTAAAAAAAAAAACTTACTTTTTTGCATACAAATTATTTTTTTTCTTCTTAAATTGTCTGTGTTTGCCAAAATGTGCTAATTCTTCACATGTGATAGAAGAAATGAATTGGGCATGTACAGGATGAATCACATCATTTGAAACTTAGCTCTGATTGGAAAAATTGGAAGTGCTACAACTATCCCTGGTTTCTCCTACAAGCTAATATGCAACGTGACTAACATAACATTAGTCACCTCCTATATGTGCTCATAATGACATCACCAGTTCAGATAAGGTTTGAAAGTGTTGCCTGAAACTGTTTGGCTCTTCCTCTGCTTCTGCATGCTCTGAAACCCAACTCATGTCAAACAGTATCATCTTATAACAGAGGTACAGTACATTCTCATGATCTGTCTCTACTGATCTAACACACGCCAAGGAAAATTGATTCCATCTTTGATCAATTACATTCTGCCATTTGAGGCTTCTCCTCATCCTGCTGCCTGCACAATATCAAAGATAAAAAGCCAACAAGCTCTCTTCAAAATGACTGTACAGAAAATTAAAGAGAGTGTCTGTCATTCCTTTAATGACAATAAGCAGAGGTGGAATTACATCACCAAAAGCCCTTATAGTTTGTTTTGTTTATACTCATAAAGGATGCAAGCATATGATCAACTGCAAAGGTATATAAATGGCAAACATTTACAGTGTAAGTCAACATTCATTTAAAATAGAAATTTAATCAGTGTCTGAAGCTGTGGCTTGGGTCTGGGCTAAGAAGGAACAAAAATGAGCTCCCCGCTGATGAATGAGCAATGTGTTGATGTGTTTAACTAATTAAGAGAGAATGCTTGAAGTACTGCAACAACATTAATGTGTAGGTTTCAGTAAAGTGGGCTTCTCTTTAAATGCTGTTCCTATAAAACTACTTGTTAGCACATTTGACTGTGTTTAATAGACTGTGAAATTAAGTACAATTATAGATTAAGTTGTCATCCATTCCGTTTCTGATTCTCTGCATTAGTATGCTTTTCGTTGTGGTTGAATGGTGAAAAAAATGACCACCAACATTTTTCGGTAATCACTTTCACTTTACCCTGGTGAGAAATATTATAAAGTCATAGAATGATGGCGATTTCATAGTAACTTTGAAATCCAGTGCTCAGGAAATTCAACTGCACTTATGCTTAAAAAGTATGACAGCGCATTCTGTTAACATGGGCCTGCTGTGGTGAAACTACAGAGTCCCGTAGATGAATTCCAAAAAGGTGCATCTTAGATAACATGCTTTTTATGCAACACTGGAATATAGCAGCCTACCAGTCGTAACAGTGAAAAGCTGTATTAGGAAAAATTGCCTCACCCAGCCATCGACTCATACTTTCCTTTCCCGCTGAAGAGGTGATTCACTTTAAGTCTTGCCTTTATTAAAGCTTGAGCATCTCCCAAGTAATTTTGTTAAGTAGCACAATGTTCATTTAGTTGTCAGTTAAACAAATTATTGAAAGAAGTATAAATGCATATTAGGCAGTTGCAGTATGAAAAAGAAAAAAAACTGCAGTAATTTACATGATAATCTGTGTCGCTTGAGTGTAATGTTAAAAGTTTGTTTTCATGAGCTGTTAATGCATATTTGAATTGTGGGAGAGCAATATTTTCTCACCTTTCATAAAGAATGGTTCAATGTATCCAGTGCTAAAGGGGACCATACATGAAGCAATGCAGCACATTTACTTAATTAGAGAATTCATCCAGCTCTTATTGTTGTTCCCACACAGATGCTTCCAGCTTCACGTCACTCAATTAGGAACCTTCTTAAGTAAACTGACTGTTAAACTGCAGCCTTTGACTGGAGCCCATCCGAGCTTTCACTGGACACACACTGATACTGGTCATCCATAGCAAAGCTAACTCGGATAGACAGGCAATTATTCACACTCACATTCACACTTTTGTCAATTTAGAATCACTGATTAACCTAACACGCATGGGAGGAAACTGGAGTACTTGGAGTGAATCTATGCAGTTTTGTTGTTTTTAAAAAAATATATATTCCTTTTATTTGCCTCTAAAAAGTGGGGTTAAGGTTAATTGTAATCATCAATCACAGAGAGGAAAGGCCTTTAACTGGACATCCAATATTTGTTATGAAATTTCAGTAATGTATAACTTTAAGACCGAACTGAAAGGCCTGAAGTAATAAAAAAAAATAATAATAATGCACAAATTTTATTAATGACAAATTGACCTGCTGGATTTTATTTTTTTAAGTAGCTGCATAGACAGATCATTGATGGCTGGGTCTGTGTATTAATGATGTGCAGACATAAATCAGTTCACAGAGTCATATTGTAGTTTCGTGTCATTCTATTTTGGACTGAAACAAGTCACACTACTGTAAATCAATTAACTTCAGAGTGCAGACTTAAAATTAAGTTACACTCAGGTTAGCATGAGCCCAATATCATTCGTTTCTCAATTATATAATGGGTATAACAAGTAATCTTTTAAAAACAGGTGAAGAATATAACAATATCCAGTTAAATTAACACCTTTACAGAATCATCTGTGCTGCAAACACTGGTGGCAGCATACTGAGCGAGCATGATTTCCAGTAAATTAATTCAGAGCCAGTTTCCATAGTAACACTCTTCACAGGCTGCCCTCCGCCCCCCTACCCATCATTCTCTTAGCTACTGTGCAGTGCAGGCAGTGCAGCAATGGAGAATACTGTGCAATGCAACCGTCTCCAGCGTGGCACATTAACCTACTTCCACACCAGAAACAACCCGGATGCGGAATTAGAGAGAAGGAGGATGAAAGATGATGGATGAATGAGGAGAGAAGTGCAAGGAGAAAAAAAGGTTTGAGTGGACTGAACAGCATGGAAGGCAGAATGAAGGACACACAGAGGGGAGAGAAAGGACGAACTCGGGATGGAAAAGAAGTGATTACTATGAGAGAAGGGCAAAGAGGAGAGGTGGAAATAAAAGGCACAATGAAAAAACTGAGTAAAGGTAACAAGACAGAAACTTAAATGGGCAATATCAATGGAAGATTCAATATGTATCATCATTATTCATATTAAAACAAGAAAATAAGATCCTGGTCTCAGTAATATTTACACGCATCAAAGGAAACAGTTAATGTATGCCAGTGAAAATGAGAATGAATTGAAAAATCAATTTAAAAAATGTTGATTGCTGCTGAAAATCACGACTGAACCCAATGACTTCTCTGCTACACTCTTTGGCACATGTTCCTTCTTGCCCATCACATCCCTCTTCACTCAGTGGTCCTGATGAGAGGATGGAAATTCCCTGCCTCCATTTCATTTGCCCTGCTTCCTAATTACAAGTCAAAGATTTATAGATAAAGATCTTTCACCACAACGAGGGTATATTCCAAGAGGCGGACTCTCCTTAGAATTTCCCATGAGAGGATACCGTTTAAAACATCCGCTCCTCTTATTCTAATTAATCCACCTGAGAGCGAAACATGAACAGACAGACAAAGGGGGGAAACTGAGAAGATATACGATGACTTACCGACATGAGTGATGACACACTCGACCCTCTGTAGCAGCTCCTGAACCGACATCTCGTCCTCTCTCAGCCAGCACAGCATCTCAGGGTGTGGGTTGCATCCACTCTTCTCTTGATCTCTCTTCGTCTCACTCTCTCTCTCTGCTGCCACGCCTCCTCTCGTCACCCTTCCACCCCAGACAGTCTCCCCTGCTTTTTCTCCCTAATCCAATTTTCTCCTTTGAGATTTGTGTCTCCCTTTCTTCCCCTCTTATATGTTGATTCTTATTTATACTCTTATTCTAAGTCCTTCCTCACATTTATCACCATCACAGAGAGCCACAAAGCCTGGGGATAATGATAATGTTGATGCCACTCCCAGCCACTTAGCTAAATAGTAAGTCTACATATAAAATAACCACGCTGCTAGTAAGGCACATATAAAATGACAAAAAAAACCCAGTTGGGGTTGATAGAATAGAAAATAAAATAGCTTAGTCAATTGAACGGCGAGCAGGGTAATCTGCCAGTCAGTGTTCAGTAAAAAACAATGGCAAGGTAACTGTTAAGCAATTAAACAATAAAAGCCAGAACAAGTCAAGCGGAAAGACAACAAAAGAGGCAATTTGTTTGTCACCCTATCAGTCAGAAAACTGTGCCAATAGTAAAAAATAAAACTGCAGTTTCAGAAAATTTGTAAGTAAAAACATCCAATTATTGATCAGCCATCCAGACACTGATAGAGCCAACCGTTCCTTGTCATGATGCTCCAAGCCCCAACTGAAAACCAGAAAAATCCTCATAGAACAAAAGTAAATATTTACAGCACCTCTAACCTAGGAAAAGACAGAATGCTCCTCAGCCAGGGGAGATAGTTGAGTCCACTCCATTGAAAGGGAAACTCCTCAAGCCTGATGGGCAGGAAATCAGTGGTGCTGCTGCTTTGATGATGCTCTATTTGCTCTCATAAAGAAGCTGAGTCACACAGAGGGAAAACGAATCAGAAGGCTGCTTCACCTGCCTGCAGGGCGGAGGGAGAGACACAGAGCTGGCTGAGGGTGGGGTGGGGGTTAATAGGTCCAAGAGAGAAATCCTGGTGCCTGGAGCTGGACTGTAAGAGGAGTGGAGCCCCAGGAACACACAATGATTATCAAATTAAACATTATAAAAAATTATATATATTCTGTTTTTGTTAAATATGTGGGAAAATAACATAAAACACTTTTAAAACCCTACATATTTAGCCATCAAAAAGACCGTGTTAAATTAAATAACTCTGATTTAATCATCATCACGCAAGAGCACGAACAAAACAAATCATTCACGCTTTCACTTCACAGAGTCATTCGGTGCTACTAAAGCCACTCTGCTAATCCAGCTCCACATTTTGCCTGAACCAAACAATGTAAGGGGCTCTAGCATCTCTCCATGGCCCTGTATGCTCCTGGGACTGTCTATTAGCCAGAGACATCTGTGCTCTTGCTACTCATTCATCTTCTCTCTGCAGGCAATCACAGGCCGTACAACAGAAACAACCAAGATCAATGGCCCATCAACTGGCAGACAAAACAAAGCACATAATCCTGTATTTCTTAGGAACATGACTACACAGTGTTTGTTTTTGTCAGATGAAATCATTAAATCTAAACTATCGGATTATTTATTTGTTTATTTGTCTAAAATTTAACAGTTTAGAACATAAGCGGAAATGTTGCGTATTAACAAACCAAACGAAAATAACGGGAAATTATGAAGGATACAGAATGAAGAGGAGACAAAAAAAAGCCCCTCTCCCCCAAAAGGAGAAAGGGATGGGAGGAGACGTGACTAAGGAAACAAGCGGCGTCCGCACCATATGATTGGAAGTTACACAATGACGTCGACGGAAGTGTTTTCGGCCGCTAGCGCGGGAAGACTCACGGACGCTGTTGAGGACACGGAGTTAAGCAGACAGGGGTCGAGCCAGCTGCCAGAATTATTATTACTACTACTGGAGTTTTAGATATTCATTCACTTGGAATTATTAGGTAAGACTTCTAAAGCGGTCCATGTTTATGAAAAAAGACACAAGGCTAACAACGGGGCTAACGTTATTAGCTCATAGTAAGCACAGTGGCTAACTCACCTAGCCTCGTTAGCTTCCATGATAAGTTGTGCTATAATGCTAAAAACAGTGCCAAATGCCATTTAATGTTCAGGGAGACGGCGTGGAAATCTTTCTTTAAGTGTTTACTAACCGCAGATAACATGGGCTACACACCAATGATGTCTGGGTCAAGCTGTATCTGCTGTTCAAAGTAAACCACTAACTTCACTTTCTCATTAGCGAGCTACATAACGAATACAGTTCTGTCTGTTGTGATGTTAAATTTCTTAAGTGCCGCTCTTGCACCCCAACGTTATGATGTCACATTTTAACGTCTACTGCCCAACGAATGAAATAAGGCTTGACGTTAACGATTAATGAGCGTTATGTCTTTTTCTCCAGTCGTTCAACCATTCTTTAAACGATCTATTAACTCATGCTTGTGCATACCGGGTCTAAAAAGACTTGTAGCAAATCAACAGAGCGATCTTTCTGAGGCGTGCCTCTTCTTCTTTTGGCTGCACTGTTTAGGGGTCGCCACAGTGGATAATGTGCCTCCATCTCGCCCTACCCCTAGCATCCTTCTCTGTCACTTCAACTCTGCGTCACACTACGTCAATGAACCTTCTCTGTGTTCTTCCTTGTTTCCACCTTTCTGCTAGCTTCATATTCAGCATCCTTTGTCCTAGATATCCACTGTCTCTGCACTTGTCCAAACTGTGTCAG